CCATACCCCCCAAAACTGGTGCCTATAGCCCCTTTTGCTCAGAGGGACGTGGCTTTTGCTTAGAGGGATGCTGACTATTGCTCGGGAGTGTGATTTATCATCTGCACTTGGCAGAGGGTAGGGAAGGGGATATTGAGTTTGCACTTTACTGTGAACCAAGGCTTTTTTTTTTCAGCCGGAACTCACTGGAACTCAGTTCTGGCACCTCTGAGAGCCAGTGTGGTGTAGTGGTTAAGAGCGGTAGATTCGTAATCTGGGGAACCGGGTTCGATTCCCCGCTCCTCCACATGCAGCTGCTGGGTGACCTTGGGCCAGTCACACTTCTTTGAAGTCTCTCAGCCCCACTCACCTCACAGAGTGTTTGTTGTGGGGGAGGAAGGGAAAGGAGAATGTTAGCCGCTTTGAGACTCCTTAAAGGGAGTGAAAGGCGGGATGTCAAATCCAAACTCCTCCTCCTCCTCCTCCTCTCAGGTGTGTGCCATTGCCATTATAAGAGAACAAGGGAGGCATTCTTGGTGAGTTCCGGTACCTCTTTTTCTAGAAAAATTGCACTGAAGTGAACCTACCTAATCTGTGCTCAGACACAATGGGCGTAGCCAGGATTTTTGTTCGGGGGAGGGGGGAAAGCATTTTCTTAGGGGGGCAGAACCTCAGTTATCTATGTATTTTTATTGAATTTTATTGATTTAGGGGGGCAGCTGTCCCTCCCTGCTCCCCCTTGGCTACGCCCATGGACACAAACCAAAATGCAACTCTGGGTTTATCCACACTTACCTTTCCTCTGTGCTTTCCAGGTATGGTCTGCACTTTAAAGTCCCATGTTTAAAGCTCTGTTTTTTGCCCCAAAGCTTTTCACCATGAAAACCTGAATTGGAGCAAACAGCAAATCCATGGATAACCCGAATTGCCATTTGTTGTACTTCAGCTTTAAAGAGCAGGTTTTCACGGGGAACACTCCAGGGTGAAAAACAGAGCGCTGGGACATTGAGCTTTAAAGCGTGGACCTGTGTTTGTTAAGCATGGGGCAAAAGGTAAATGTGGATAAGCTCAAACTTTCAAAATTTGCACTTCTCCAAATTTTTGCAATGCAGTTCTCCACCCAAAAGACGCAATGGGGGAAGTGCACAGAAAATGCCCTGCTCCAGGGCACTTACAATTATGGGCACTTATGGTGGAGAATTGCTTGCAGAATTATTAGGATGAATGCACATGAAAATGTAAGTTTTGTGCAGACCTTTAATAAAATCACAAACTAATGTGGAAATGGGTTGAACTGAAGTTGAACTGAAGTTGAACTAAAGTTCGAGGAAACAAGAAACCAAGAGAAATAAAAATGGTCAGATTTATCCATCCTTATTTGAGGGCTGTGTCGGCATTCTGCACAGCAGTATACATGGGGTTTCCTTGGAAAAAAAAGCCCTGATGAATAAACATTCACAAATTCTTTACTGTAATATATAGATAGATAATTTGTGGATCTTTACAATTTTATAACATGCAGATAGACATATGTGTTGAGAAACCAGAGAAAGGAGTTGAGGGAAGTCGGAAGGTGGGGTAGGAGGTTGGGTTTTCTGTTTAGGGGGGAGGGGGAGGGAAAAAATGGAGGGGGAAAACAATATGGATGATGTATTTTTGTTAAAACTACAGTGGTACCTCAGGTTACATACGCTTCAGGTTACAGACTCCGCTAACCCAGAAATAGTGCTTCAGGTTAAGAACTTTGCTTCAGGATGAGAACAGAAATTGTGCTCCAGCGGCGTGGTGGCAGCAGGAGGCCCCATTAGCTAAAGTGCTGCTTCAGGTTAAGAACAGTTTCAGGTTAAGAACGGACCTCCAGAACGAATTAAGTACTTAACCTGAGGTACCACTGTATTGTGTTGAAATTTCTAATAAAAAAATTAAAAAGAAAAAAAAGCCCTGAAATTTTTGTTTGCACAGAATTCAGCAGCCCATCTATTGCTATTTCTTAAATATGTAAACAAATACCTGTGCAAAATAGATTTTGCTCCCAAGAGTAATCTAAAGGCCATTCTTCTCTGCTCCCCGTTAGAACCTTGCACTGGTATCTGCTGACTGCACTGCCTTTGAACAATTCAGTTTTGTCAGTGGATATCAAGATATTCATGTCACAGCCAGGTCATAAGTAATTATAGATTAGGAATGAGGATAGTCAATGAATAACAGAAGCAAATGGAGAGACAGCGCACCAAATATGTTCCCATTTGAGCAGTCCTGTTTGTCTACAGATATTGAACTGTGTTTCATACAAAACTTTAAGAGCAGCCTAAATTTTCAGCCCTTGCCAAGCGTTGCAGTACCACAGCGTGAGGTAACCCGAGTGCGATCATAACAACATACCTTCTGAGGTAAAGGACATTGGCACCAAGCTATTTATTTCTCATCTCCCATTGAAATATTCATAGCTAAGCCTATGGCTGCCGTCCACAAAATATTTAATCTGAGTAGCCCATGCATTTGGAGGGGCACCTGTCCCAGAATGAGTCAGTTGTGGTTTGCAGTATTTTAGACAATCTCCCCGCTAGTAGTGATTTATTCAAGACTAGCCTTATCATTGGACAAAGCAAGGAGGCTAATTATGAGGCAGCATGTTATAAGAGGCAGCTGTTTTGTTTCACTGGCAGATGGAAGGGACATTCTTTTCCCAGAAACAGCAGGATGTGAAAGGTAAATGGAATATCAGATCACATTAAGGATTTGAAGAAGGACCATCATCATGTATTTCAGAAAGCAACGTAAGGGATGCTTAGCCTAGAGAAGAGGAAATAGAGAGGGAGAACAACACAATAGAGGTCTTCCAATACAGGAGATTGGGAGTGAGGGGCTTGTGTTCTCTGTTGCTCCAGGGGTTGGAAGATACAGGAAAGATTTCAGCTCAGCATTAGGGAAATGTTCTAAGAGTAAGGGCTGCTCAACAATGAAATAGACTTGGGTGGTGGTGGACTCTCCTTCCTGAAAGGCATTTAAGCTGAGTCTTGGCAGATATCTGTAGTGGTATCCTTCACTGCAGATCCTGCGCTGAGCAGTGGGCTGGAATACTAAACGATCTGCAACTATGTAATTCTTTGTTCTTTTCCAATAAAAAAGTCTCTCTCTGTCAACAAGGTCCATCAAGGCAAAGGCAATTGCCAGGACTGAGCTGTAGGTAGGTTGGAAGCTATGAAGCAGAAGTTGCATCACAGAGTCAGATGTAGGAAACCTTGGCTTAGGCATTGGGCGTGTATCCCTCTCAGCCCCCTGCTGGGGATCTGAGGCTAGACAGGGTCAGGAATTCGGGGACACTGCAAAATGTGTGTTCACACAGCTGGCCCCCTTTATCCACACAGCTGAGGAGAGTACTATGACCCAGCACTGTGCGCTTGTGGCCAGAGACTCCCCTCAAGACCCCTTTAACGGGTAACCCTGATATTGCTGCCGCAGAAGGGGCGAGTCACCGCATCACCCGCTCACTGAATATTGGACTAATGGATTCCACCCAAAGCCTAAAACCACCAAAGTTGTGACAATTGCTACAGGGAAGGCAAGACCTGTAGAGCAGGGGAAATTCCTTCCCGGCTCTGAAAAACAGCAGCCATTGTCCTACCGTAGCAACGCCCATGAACCTAGAAAGGAAATGGTTAGCCTGAAAGAAAAGATACAAGTACGGGGGGGGGGCTGGGGGGGTGATGCCACGGCTGCAATGGATAGGGATACACCAGTTTAAAAATGGGTTCTGGTGGGAATCCAAACAAAAAACTCCACAGCAACCATCGGGGGCGGAAACCTCGCCCACCATTTGACCTGGTAAGTGGATATTCCAGTGCATGGAAAGCTGACAAGTCTTAAAGTTTGTAAGAGCCTTTCTCCCTGAGATTAAATTTTTCCATGTGGAGAGGACCTGAGGCAGCAGGTAGGGAGATGCATTCGTTCATAAGCCCCTACCTTGTCCCAAGTGATACACAGCATTGTTCTAGTATTATTTCAGTTGGGGCAGCTGTTGAGAATCTGTAGCCCTTCAGATGATATTGGATTGCAACCGACATCAGCCCCATCTGGCATGGACAATGGGGCTGGGATGATGGGAGGTGTAATCTTAACAACATCTAACACACTATGGCCTCACCTCTGGGCTAAGGCTTGTTCACCAAATCAAGATTTAGATGTTATTACCTTAGGTTATCCTCCTTAGGATAGCATCTCCTTCTAGCTAAATGGATAAGTAATTCCCAGGTAGAAAAAAAGACTGTGCTGATTTTCTTGGGTCATTCACTGTTCGTTGCAAATGTTCTGTGCAAATATGACCCCCAACCACCAGAGCTAAAAACAACAACACACCCTGCAGTTTGTTTACGGGATCACTTTATCGCAGGCTGAAAGTAAGCCGAGTCAAGAACTGGTTCTGCCAAGGGTGCTGTCTCTCCCTAAGCTCACCCTGACCTGCGCTTCACCCTTCGAATGTAAATAAACCAAGGATTGAAGTTGATTCACTGCGCTGTATCCCAGGATAGTTGATTCTGTAAACAGGATGCTAGAATGCCAAAGTGCCTAATGTGAGCCTTGTTAGCATTCCACACACCAAAATAGTTTAAATTGCTTCAAAATTGGCGACAGATTACTTAAAAGGTCCTTGTTTGTGATAGCTTTCTAATGAATACTGTTGGCTTTTCACATGACGATTTTCCTGTAAATGTTTTTTTTATTAAAAAAAACCAAAAAATCTCAAAATAATTTTTAAAATGACATTGACCTGCTGACCCTTCTCCACAATTCTTTTTTGAGGGATAAAAGGAATTGCACACCCTGTTTGTGTTTGATCATGTTTATAGTCACGGGAAGACTCTTCCTGCAAAAAGTGAGGTTCCTTCATATGTACGTACTGAGGTAGCTATAGAGTGCAGTTCTATATCCACTGATAACTCGGCAGCTGAGGAACTCCGCAAAGCCTGCTTCAAACTTCTCAGCTGTTGACAGGCTTGACTTGCTGAGAACACTGGTTAAATATAGCACAAACGAGCTCAGCTCAACAAAGTCATTGCTCTCTGAACAGTGTGAGAGGAGACCAGGAGAGGGGAAATGCAATCTCAGAACTTGACTGCCAAAGCTTAGCACCACAGAGCAACAGTTGTGGGTGGGGGCAAAAAAACAGCAAAAGAGGCTTTCAGACAAAAGCCTGGGGGGAGAAACATAACTGAGAGGCTGTACCTCCTGTTTCTTCTGCGTGGTATTTCTCTTAACAGGAACTACGTTCCTCTTCTGCTCTCTTCCCTATTTCCTGCATTACTTCAGTCACTGATAGATCTAGAAAGAAAGCGAGGGGAAGCTTCTGTCTCTGTGTTCTTCTGGGCCTGATTAATACCTTCAGTCTTGGTCATGCAAGCTAGATTCCCGAAGCCTTCCAAGAGCACAGTGTCTTTGTAAAAGGAAGGCAACTTGGTCTTCTCTTCCACTTGGCAGGTAAGACTGAATTGACTTCTCCAGTGGAGTTTTTCATTGAGAATGATTGTTTTTGCTTCTTGTTTGTGAATGTTCCCTTGTTTCTTGTGTGTTTGCTTGCCTTCTGTGCTTAACATTCTGCTTAATGTGGAAAGTTGAGAAGAGAGACACTCTCTTTACAAAAAAAAGAGAAGATAAAAAGACTGTCTTTTTTTGCTTTTATCAGTACAGGAAAATTGTCACGTTCTTTTACGCTATCTGTCAAACTAGCAGGGCTAATAGTAACATTCTAAAACCATAATAGGACAGGAGATGGGATATGGAAGCATGGAATATAACAAAGGCATCAGCTATGTTTGTGTAAGCACATGCTGTCAGAAGGCACATTAAGATTGGGGTTTTATTTTAAGAAGACTGGCTGGGGCTAGTATCACAACAGCTATAAAACCTAGTAATGAAGACTGGCTGGTCAGCAGGATGAAGTAGGCATGCTGTGATATTCTGAATTAATTGTGAGGCTCTTGTCTGATGCTTTCTAGCTCACCTATCTATTTTTCACAAGCCTGTAAGTGCTTTTGTACACCTGGTACATTTTGTTCTGCCCTTTTGACAATAGTCCCAAGTCTTGCTGCTGCCATCAAGAATATCTATCTTATTAAATCACAGTCCGAATGTTTATTCTGTGTGAATAACTCCATGAGCATTCATAAACAGGATATTTTTGGACATAACAATGTCAGGATTTATTTAAGTATAAATATATCTTTACAGAGAACTGACCATTCAAAATGTTACCACGTTGCTAGAACACACATTCTATTTTTTACTATGACAAAAAATAACCCAGTTATAAAAACATTACTTCCAGAGTACATGGAACTTATTTCCATGCAACTGATAGTACTCTGTAAAAATATGTTTATCATATTTTATTTTGTGTCTTTGCATTTTATCTTATTTTTGTAAACTACACTGAAAACTTAGTTGAAGGGTATAAACCATGGAAATAAGTAATGGAGCAATTGTGTTTAAGAACCACAACTTGATAGGATTGTATACCCATATGACCACACCTATCTAACTAGTAACTGCCTAAAACCAGCTAACAACAGAAAAATCAGGCAAACAAATAAATGCAAGAATAATTCATAACTTGTTAGAAAGTGTTATTTTTAAAGAAGCATGCAAGACATTTTGACATTTACCTGAAATACTTCCTGTTTCTTAAAAAAGATTTTTCTAGTAATAAAAGAATACAGTAACAGAATTTTCTGTTGTGTGCCCAATGCAAATCATTTGCTCAGTCCTAAGAATATGATAATTTGTTGCTTTATTTAACTATCTAAAGAAATAAAATGACAATCTGATATTTCAGTCATTAGCACATCTAGTCTGAATTACATCCCAGCAATTAAATGACATCTTAGTGCCATGATCCTAAATTCACTTACTGGGAAGTTTCCAGTAAGTAGACTTACTGGGAAGTTTCCAGTAAGTGGACTTAGGATCATGACACTAAGTTATGATGCAAAAGTGGTTATTTTTGTTCATGGGTATAAACAAACTGCTAAGAAAACAGTGAGAGAAATGAAACAGTAAGAATAAGACACAGTTCCAAAGAGTCACGAGAAAAGTACTGTGCATTATTTATTTTCCAGAGATGTATCAATTGAATATTTAGAACCAAGATGATCTACAGTGCCTATGCATGGTCTTGGTTTCTCCTCTTGTCAGTATGTTTAGGAAGGCCTGCAGCTGTCTCTCTCTTTCTTCTAGTGCATGCCTTAAAGGTAAAGGTACCCCTGCCCGTACGGGCCAGTCTTGACAGACTCTAGGGTTGTGCGCCCATCTCACTCTAGAGGCCGGGGGCCAGCGCTGTCCGGAGACACTTCCGGGTCACGTGGCCAGCGTGACAAAGCTGCATCTGGCGAGCCAGCGCAGCACACGGAAACGCCGTTTACCTTCCCGCTAGTAAGCGGTCCCTATTTATCTACTTGCACCCGGGGGTGCTTTCGAACTGCTAGGTTGGCAGGCGCTGGGACCGAGCGACAGGAGCGCACCCCGCCGCGGGGGTTCGAACCGCCGACCTTTCGATCGGCAAGCCCTAGGCGCTGAGGCTTTTACCCACAGCGCCACCCGTGTCCCTAGTGCATGCCTTAGGCCTGCCCTAATAGGAACTATGACATACCTACTCCCAACCCAATAAATAATCAACTTCCACCCTTCAGCGCCAGGAACAAAACTTTCATCCATCCATATGGAACAGGTCAGCCATGTTGCTCTGTATCTATTCCTTAAAGAATACTGGCTAGCACCTGCAAGGGAAACTTTTTGTTTTCAATACTGCTCTTTTGTGTGAATGCATTTCTCTGCAAAAGAGCTGTTTTAATTGTAAAATTGAAATACCATAAATGTGCCTTAGAAACTGATTGTGGGAAAAGGCAGACTGCAGCCTTTCCTCATCTGCATGTTTCCATCGGGAGGAGCGTAGAAAGAGAATGATGTCAAGGAGGTTTAACAAACTGAAGGATGCCCGTCCTCTTTCTGTGCATCTCCTGTACTCCTGTGGAGCTTTTAAAAGGATTTCCTAATGAAAGTTTCCTAATGAAACTTTGATTTCCTAAAAAAAGCTTAACTTTGGCTGCCCCCCCCCAAATCCTGGCTACGCCCATGCTAGCAAATATCAACCATGAAGGCTGTCATGAGAGGAGTCCCTTAGTATAACTCATTGAATGTAAATCACTATAATTAGCAGCATTCTTGTTATTATTATTTTTAGGTGTGTAATGGCTGCTCGCTAAACACATTAAATGACTAGCAGACCCACAAAGTTTCATGTAAGGAAAGCTGCAGGGTCTTATCCTCCCTCCTCTGGCAACCTGCACAGTACTTTGGTTGCCATCAATTTGATTTTAATTAATTTTTATAATGAAATATTTTAGAATGTGTGATTATTCAACTATTTGGTTATTTGATTGTTGTTAGCCGCCCTGAGCCCAGCTTCGGCTGGGGAGGGCGGGATATAAATAAAATTTATTATTATTATTATTATTATCCTGTGGGATAAAGAACTATAACTCAGAACAAGAGAAAGGTTTGCATAGTCCTGGAATAGTTTGGGTGCTAGAAACTAATTCGTTCCACCATTTACCTCTTTATGATAATAAAAAGAGGGGGAGAAGTTGGTGAAGCACCATAAACGAAGAGCTTTGTGGAGTTAACCTTCTCATTTTGTGGGAGGGATCATTTGGTTTCCCCTTGTCACAGCAAATAGCTTAATGTGTGCTGGCATTTTTGATGGCTTCATCTTAATATTTTCCAAACAGGAGTCTGTCTGAATAAAATTCACCAGCTGATATGTGTAAGGAGCAAAACAGTGTAATGACCTAGTCACCTCTGTATGTTCCCTTCCCCTCCCTTCTAAAGTGGGCACACTGGCTAAAACTACCCTTCTAAACAGGTGCCCACAAAGGGACTCTGGGGGTTTCCTATCAAATCTGTGAAATATGGAACATGGACTTTACAACAGCTGGGCCACAGGGATTGTTAATAGCTGGACTGTTTTTGATGTAGATTTTCATCCCAGGAAAATATATTGACCTAAACACATGTTCTTTCCTCCCTCCTCCTTCTTCCAACACCCCCTGAACCAGTTTTGGGGGGCAAACAGTGGGAGGAGAGTGGGGAAACCCCACTGCCCTATGTGGAAATCCTTGTGTGGGCTCTGCTATTGGGACTCATTATTTGAATCTTGCTCACAGCCATCATGGCTAGTCACCATTGACAGTCTTACCCCTCATGAATTTGTCTAATCCTCTTTTAAAGACATCCCAACTAGGGGCCATTACTCATCTCATGGGATAAAATTCCGTTGTTAAGCTATGCACTATGTGATGAACTATTTCCTTTTGCCTGTCCTGAATCTTCTGATATTCTGCTTCGTTGAATGGCCCTGAGTTCTGCCTCAAAAAACTTTTCCCTATCCACTTTTTCTACATCATGCATGATTTTTAAAGTAAACTTATTCAAAAGGCCTGGATGAACTTGGTGCAAAAATGGACACAAGGATGGCAGCAGCCAAGCTTACCTCAGAAGGCTATTATTCCTTATCTGGGGTGCCACTACTAAAAAGGTTTTCTCCTTTAAGGGGTTGACTGCCTCTCTTCATCTGGTGGGGCACCCAGAACAGGGTCCCCCAAGTTTTGGCTAGAAGGTGATCTTTCAGGTAGCCTGGTCCTAAACTGCTTCTGGAGTTTGGGACCAAACAAACACGTAAAGGCAGGTGCTGCTTTGGCCTCCTGTGTCATCAGCTAACATATGGAAAGGCTGTTAACTCTGAGCTCCCACAGCTGCCCATGTAGCTGTTGTCCTGGCCTGATCAAGGCACATTCCATAGGTTCAGAGAGAAACTTGTCCCGACCACAGCCCCTTGGCAACTGTCCACACCTGCTCACAAATGCCTGCTTCACCATTTTAGGCACAAGAGCACACTGTGTTGGGGATGTAGATGCAATCTGCTAACTGTGTGGAATCCTCTGTCAAGGCTATCATCTAAACACATCACTCACTGGTTACCTCTGCTTATCACCCTTTCCAAAGAACAAATAAAGCAATCTTTGTCATCTACGAATAAGCCTTTTGCTGGCCTCCTCTTCTGTGTTGTTCCCTATTTTCCCATTGTCCACTAAGCTTTCTGCTCCTTAACCCATCAACTTTGTGAGCCCTTCCTTTCTCCTTCAAAGCTCAGCATGCTTTTGTCTTGTATTCCAGTTGCCATTTCCAGCTCCTCTCCCTTCCCATGGGAAAGGCAGCCTACATCTTTCTCTTTCATTTCCTTGCTGTGGCCTTATTTCCTCATGCCAACAGATGGTTTCTACTCCTGGAACAAGCATTTTCTTTTGCTACATAAAATATTAGTAATTTTCAGCTATGCTTTGATCTGGGTTGTGTTTTTTTAGCAGTTCTAAAAACAAAAACAAAATAACCCATAAATAGTGGTGTAGTGGTTAAGAGCGATAGAC